ACAATCCCAGCAAGCTACATCACTATGGAATTCTAATTAGATCTTTTCTCTCTAAGAGCTTTGTAGAATAATGAGACTTCGCTTTCTTCAGAATTAATCTGGATTTACTAACAGAAATCTAGACATAGTGTGCAAAATTCTAAATGGGATCTAACATAATGCCTAATCAATTTGAGGTCGAGAGACAGTTTGATATCATGGTTAAGAGACCAGGTTAGAAGCAGTAGGAGGGTTCTAGTTCTACCTGGACACAAAGCCAGATAGGCAATCTTGAGTTACTCATTTTCTCTCAACTGTAAGAAGGAGGAAATTATAAGATACTACTGAAATCTCACCAAGAAAATTTCAGAGACTAGTCCAGGCAGCAACCAGTAACTGCTGACTTGAAGCACACAAATATAACAAAATCCAAATAAAATTCTGTGCTTTGAATTGTTTTCCCCATGTTTTAAAACTTCTTCTCAAAACAGTTCTAAAATAATTCTAGAGCAGGGGGTTTGTTAGTTTTCCTGAATTATATGGAGAAACTGTGGTATTATTCCAGATTATTAAATATGCCAGCTTGAGTTCCTGAATAAAAGGTAGATTGTAAATCAATTTGTTTTTATTTCATTTTAATTTGAGGTTGTCTTTGAATAGAATAATAAGGAAAATACTGTTGCAACACTGTAAAAATAACTTCGAACTGTTGCATTTATGAGTTGAGGACAACATGAACACAACATAATGGGGATATAATAGAAAAGAATAAAAAATATTATGGAACAACTTTGCAACATGGTTAGATGCAACTGGGAGCATGGTCTTAGTTCAGTACATAACTATATTTTTTGACCAGAAAGTCACAATCTTCTGACACCAATAAAATAGTAAGGATCTCAGAAACAAACAAGTTAAGAAGGTGCTACATCCAGAGAGATTTTAACATAAGAGTATCTTTCATCCTTAAGGATTCTAGGAGATATTTTTTTTCATCAAAAATGAGAGGCATCCACCTTCAAAAATGACTTTCAAAGAGGCTGTCTTCCACAATATGCTGAAATCAATCTAATATGAAGGCCTCCAACTTTTAAGAAATTGAATGAATCCAACTGCCTTCATGATAGGTTTCATGGTATTAGTAATGAGTATTACATTTTGAGGAGACTACGCAATCATTTCTACATCCTCTACTGGCTCTAGAAAGTATTTTTGGCATTATAACCTTTAATTTATTTCACATTTTTCCACTTTCCATTTTTTACAACCTTGTCATTTATTGGCATTCACTTAATACAGATAAAACTGTTCTTTGGTCTTTAAATAAAAGAATGCATTTTTCAGTTACAGGCAGTCTAAAAACTTTATGGTATGTTTGTCTCATAGAAGATGGTAATCATAGTTGCTATGTTGTTTTGGGGTTCTAAATAGGCTTCTAGGCATTTTCAGAAAATCAAACTGAAGAATTGCTGGAAAAAAGCAAGCAAGCAACACAATAAAAGTATAAAGATAACCTAGACTGGGACCAATTCCACCAGTTGATCATCCAGCAGTTGAGTGTTTTATAATTGAGAGCTCAGTTATGATCATAACTCGAGAATTATCTGTATATATAATTCATAGCACCCTTGGTGATAAACATTACTTAATAGATTAAGTGGTTAATTGATAAATAATACATATCTTATGAATATGGATCTAAAATAATCCCCTTTACTATATTGGAAAACTATGAGATGGGAAATTATGTTATCAAAAATTTCAAAAACAAGATATTCTCAGGCCTATAGAAAAGATTGCATTTTGAATGGTACTTTTCAAAACTTTTTGTCAGATTCTACTAAATGGAACAATAAATTAGAAAGCAGAGAACCGAGAGAATCCATGTAGCTTGCTGAATAACCACTTCTGTATTGTTTATATTAAACACACAGTTCAGTTATGCCAAAAGGAGGCAATGTATTCAGCAATCCTAGCCTGTGTAGCTAATGATGAGAGATGCTGGAAATTGTAGTTCAATAATATTCAGAGGTCCACAGGTTGGTCACTAGAGCTAGGCACATCAACAACAAACTTTCTGTGGTTCCTCCCAAGCATCATGCTTCACCTGGCAGAATTAACATAACACCAGCTAGAATCAATTGGCCCCTTAGATTCAATAAGAAGAACTTTGGCACATGCATTGCTAATCATTTGTCCTGAAGTGGGAAACCAGTTCTCTATGAAACCATCACTTGAAAAGGATGCTCAGATTAGGTTTGATGAAGCAAAATACACTTTTGAAAGTCTCCATAGCTTCATTACCTACCCCATACTGAATGTTCTCATCTGTACATGGAGTACATTTAACAATTAATATAATTTCTTTAAAGTGTCTCCTGCTCAGCTAGTATAGGATATTACAAAGGTTTTGCTTCCTGGGGCCTTCCATATCTGATAATGGGTCTGCTGTAAATCTTTGATTTAACAGACAATCTTTGATTTAACAGACCATCTTTGATGAAAATTATCCACTAAATTAGATCAATAAATGTAATTGACATTTATGTTGTTAAGGCATTATTTTTAGGCCGTTTGTATCACTTTACATAATTATGCAAGTAGCATTACTTGATGGAAACCATAAAAATGTCAATTACATAATTATGCAAATGACGCAGATTATAACAATTTTCTGGACTGCTTCAGAAACAATGAATTTCATGTGCTTTTTGGAGTGAAATCAAAAGGAAAAAAAATGTTCTTTGCACCTAAACTGCACTGAATGAAACTAGAAAACCATTTGGGTTGTTTTGCATTATTTTCTTAGGCCTGGATTTAACATACTGTAATGTTGCAAGCCCGACTAGTTTTATTTTGTTTGATCTGTGTCACTTTTAGATGCTTTGAATCTGGGTTGTCTGTGCGTTTTGCATGTTTTATCTGGTTTTATGGGTGGGGGCTGGTTTTGTACACTGTCCATTGCAGCTGGGCGGTTATAATACATTTAAATAAATAAATAAATAAATAAATATAACTAGAAAATGAGCAGAAGAGTTGGAGTTGAAACAAGGAATTCTCAACTGTTAGAGAAATGTGCCTCTGGTGGTCCATGATATGTGACATGCGATTCAATATTCATGCTGTATTTGTTTGACTCTTTCATGGATCTCCTTTTAAGTTCAGCAGGCCTTCTACTTTTGAAATATTTGTCCTAAGTAAAAGAAATTTTCTTAGTACTGTATAGATTAGTTGGAACTGAACAAAATGACAGATTTTGCCCACAAACAAATTATGCAATGGCTGACCTATCCCAAGTATCCAAGCACTGGTGCTAGTGAAGAAAAAATAGTGCTACCACCCAGGAGAGAGGAATACATTGGCCCTGAATCCAAACACTTTTCAAATTATACTTATGTGGTAAAGCTCTTATGAAAATAAATAATGGATGATATTAATAATATTTTACTTGTACCTAACAAGCAGACATGGGAAAGTAAGTTATTCCACAAATTGCAATATGACCACTTGCTTTTTTCATGGACACGATTTTGCAGTTTCCACAGTATCACTTAGAGACAAACAAGGTGCATCTGTTACTCCTCACGGAGCAGTGCACAGCTTACCACACTGAGCTTCTGAACAAAATACAAGGTATAAATATAGCAAATAAGTAAAGTAGAGAAAGTTATACTAATAAGAATACCAATAATAATACCAATAATAATAACAACAATAATACCTTTCCACACTTCTCCATTGCTTTTTTCCACCCCATCTCATTTCTACTACAGTTCCACAAATTTGTATTTAGCCAAAGTAGCTAGAATGATACACTAGCGAAATCTGAGTGGTTTCTGGTTTCTTGATCCCACCCAGCTGTATGGCCTTTATAAGACATTGTTTAAATGAAATGGTACCAAAGGCTCTGCAGCACAACTTCCAAACATCTACGTCCCTCACCATCCCATGACCTGTTCCAAATCCAATTCTATTGCTTTGCATGTACTGGGTACTTCTGTACCAGAAATACATTCCTGGTGTATCTAATCACACTAAGCCAAATAAAGTATGGAATCCAATCCAATCCAATCCGAGCAAATTAATTTTGAGATATGCTTCACATTAGCAGTGCTGTGCTTCTGTAGCTCAAAAGGCCACAAGGATAGTTTTTTTAAAAAAAAACAACCTCAGGGACATCAGTGTTATTTTCTTCAATTTTGATTAAGGTTTATCATGTGTAAAGTTGCTATCAACACTGAAGTGAGCATTAGTCACACAATATTATTCTACATATTTATCAGATATCTTGACAGAATGGAGTGGAATGGAATAGAATAGAATAGAATAGAATAGAATAGAATAGAATAGAATAGAATAGAATAGAATAGATAACTTTACTGTCACTTTGGATGTACACTAATTGGCATACATTAAAATGAAATTTCATTGTGTACTCTCAAAGGATCACCACCTCCAATATACACTACATAAACATGACAAAATAAAAGAATAAATACAAAACTGCATATATCCGCAACACAATCTATCCCAGATATATACATTTAGATGGTGAGAAAAACAAATCTTGCAAGTTTACAAGATGGATGACATAGGGAACAAAGCTGTTACAAAATCTGGTAGTCTTGCTAGAAATACTTCAATACTTCCTTCCAGAGGGGAGCAACAGAAACAACCGTGAAGTGGGTGTGTGGGGTCTCTAACAATGCTTTGAGTTCTAAGCACATAGCATTTATAAGTAGTATCCTGAATAACAGGAAGTGGGCTTCCTATAATCTTCTTGGCTGTCCTTACCACTCTCTGTATGGACTTTCTATCTGAGGCACTGCTGCAAATGAAATCATTGGATTGGAATCAGACCCTGGTAAATTACCGTAAATCTGGGATCAGTCCATAACATTAAACCAGGAACTATAATAAGCCTACTAAAATCATTTTAATCATCTGTTGCTTTAAAAAAATACTAGTGCTAAAATGTTATAAAAATGGAAATTTAAAAAAAATATTCTCTATTTTTTCAGAAACTCTGGAGAATGGACCTCACAAGAGTGAAAGGTGAGTAAAAAATTTACTTGCCTCTTGAATAATTCAAAAGCAAATATAAGCAGAGATAGTTGGAAGTAAAAGTCATGGACATCATCCTGTTCTTATCAGAAGGATAACAAGCTTGGAGGACATGGAAAACTTTGACGGTAGCAATTCCCTCATTTCATAAGCTAAAATTAGGGAAGGGGGGTGAGGCAAACTTGTCAAAGTGGTGGATAAGCAAGAGAGAAAGTGATTGACCATACATGGACTCCAAGAGGAAAAAAAATTGGCATCCCTACCCTGTGAAGAGCCCTTAGGGCAGTGATTCGCAATCTTGGGAACTTTAAGATGTCTGGATTTCAATTCCTAGAATTCCCCAGCCAGCATGAGGTCCAGAATCTTAAAGTTGAGAAACATTGCATGCCTCTGCTATCCACATGGTGTTCTCCTCTGTTTAGCACTTGTCTCTTTCTTCTGCTTGAACTGGAAGCCTATGGCCAACTGGGGAAATTCCTTCTTGCTAGCCTCCAGCTTTTCGGAATATGGGGATGGTTCCTTAGCACCTTAGCTTCTTTATCTAAATGGCACTCCTTTAAATGAAGTGCTGAGCTGCAGCTTCTGACCGTTATTATTTTCTAACGAAGTCTCTTGGAGAGCTGTGTTGAGGAATCAAGATGGAAGGTGGCACTTGGCAGCGTTTCAAATAAACACACAAAGGTTAGGTAAAATTTAACAGACACTGAGCTAAACCATGCAGGAGTTCTACACTCCAGTCCTTACCTAATTAAGTCAATTCAGTTAAAAAATGTGTTCATCACTTTAAATGAAGAGGCTGCTTTACAGAGCCACTCATATGGAAAGGACAATGGGGGAAGGCTGTTGACCCAGATGCATATATTGAAAGACCATTGGATCTCAGGGGAATGACAAGGGCTGGCGCCAGTTTTGTGGGGTGGAAGTCAGGCTAAGAGAGCTAGTTGTTCTGGTAGTGAAGGCACTAAGCTAGAAACCAGGAGACAGGAAAGCCAGCTGGGTGGTTTTGAGCCAGCCCACCCCTCTCTCTCAACCCATCTCACAGAGTTGTTGGGGCAAAATAGAAAAAGAAGGAAGATAGGTCTCTGACTTGAGTTATTTATAAAGAATAATAAAAATGAGGGAGAGAGAGAAAAGCCTTTGAAAGCCACATGATAAGCATTCTCAAATCCCATCAGCCCTGAGAAATAGAAGTTTTCAGCCTATGTGATGGAAGGTCAAAGGTTCTTTGGTTCAGTAGAATTTTGAGGTGCTAAGAAGTCTCTGTGGGCCCTCTTTCATTTGTTTGGTGTGTTGTATTAGCCCAATCAATGGTAGCTAATCCAATAATTCAAGTAAAATTGTGTCTTGTGTGAACCAGGTTAGTGGGCATAAATGGGAGAGGGAACTATGTTTCTACGCCTGTATCGACTTGACAGGAACAAACCAATGGGAAGGTTAGGGATGAGTGAGAATGTCATAATGTGAGACGGGAAGTTTCAATAGATTAGGAGAAAATCTTAACTGAAAAAATGTTCCCTTCTAATCCTATTGCCCTACTCAGGTCCAGTCCTATCAAGAGGACAGATACCATCTCTGTTCTTAAAACAGGCCCAAGATGCACCAGGAGAGACAGGCAAGATTCTTCCCCTTGTACATGCTGTAGGAAATTCTTTTTAAACAAACAGATTTTTATTTGCCTAATGGAGACAAGCATTGTTTCACTGTTTGAGTGCATGAGTATCATCATAATTAACAAACATGGAAACATTTCTTGATGTTTGTTTCCAGTGCAGTGAACAGGAAACGATCAAACAAGGACGAGACGTATTGGAAGGAGATCAATGCAGCGATGGCCTTAACCAATCTTGCCCAGGGAAAGGACAAACTGCAGGGTACAACCAGCTGCATCATTCAGAAATCTTCACACATATCAGAAGTGAAGACAGTCAAAGTTCCACTGGTGCCAATGTCATTTTAAGTGAAAAAGTGATTTACTTATCTTTTTCTTTGTGGATTTCTTTCGTGCTGTTCGTTTTCTTGTAAGATCACAAAAGATCTAGAATAGAGACTGAAGCTCCTATTGTAGTCTGTGACAGTCAGGATGATTAAGAATAAGCATAGCTTATTCTCACCAGCAAGCACTAGCAAAATGATCCTAAGGAGGTTTGTGCGATTCTCATTCTTGTTTGTGATGTAAAAGCTATTCCCAATGAATTGTGTTCTGTTATGGTACAGTAAGCAAGAAATATTCTCTCAGGCTAAATTGTTTTTTAAATAACATGTCAATTATGGGGGGAAGTTCCCTGCTTTTTGTCTTTTTAAGTCAAATTATTAACTTATTGTATTAATCAAGCTGCACATTAACCATCTGCATTGCAATAACAATAAGTGCCTTGCTTTCCTACAGTAGGATACAACGTGGGCACAGTTTTAGACATCTGTGCCTCAAAATGTCAATCACCCAACACTTAACCTTGCATGTAGTTCTAAGAACATCCTGACCGTTCGAAGCTGACGTCAGAAACGGTATTATTACTGTTTTAAAAGCCCTCCAACTTTTGATTTCTCTGAATTAGAGACTCAGTAATATCTAAAATGAAATTGCTATATTTTACCGTGAAAGAAAAATTGATTGTTATCAAGCAATATTCTGCTTTGTTCAAGTGAAATCAAATTGCTATGTTTTGTTACCCATAGAAATATTTTGATGTGCAATATTAATGGCTTCAAGAGCTTGAGAGCTGGATTAAAAAAAGAAATAAACCTCATTCATTTTAAGAAGAATTTGAACAGCAAGGACATTTATATGCGATGTGAAGCAGCCTTCCTTTCAGGTGCTTTGCAGCTTGGATGTTGTTGTTTCTCAAAATGATTAAAAAATACAGTGCCTCTCTCCTGCTGACTGCTGTTTTGGCTCTTATTATTGTTGAGCATGACAGCAAGATTGGAGGTCAAAGAGAAATTAAATCTCACCTATGAAAATGTTCTTCTTCTTAGCTTTATATAGTGCTTTTTTTTTACATGAAAACATATCCTGTGACAGCTTATGTTGTTCTTGCTGCAGTAAAGCTATCAGTAAATCCAGTGTAGATTCCTTCCTTTTAAAGTCTCCTTTAGATTTATTGAAACTGTTATATAAGTAAACAAAGCAGCTTACTTTTTTGGTACCAAATCAATCTATGCCTCAGTTTATTATTTACATTGGAGCTCTGTAACTTTCCACGACGGAAACCGTTATTGCCTTAATGCATCCAAAATGTTTTTTATTTTGGTATGGAATGTATCAAGTGAAGGCAATCCCCATTTCAATGAAGGAAAAAGGGCATAATGAAATCTATATATTATATAAAGTGAAAAGCCTGAATTAAAAACATGTGGGGTACACAACAGACAAACAATTGTGGCACTGACTCAATTTAAAGTTAAAATAGATGCTAAATTAGGCATTAAAAACAACATTTTAAACCTCTAGATTTGATTGCCATTGAGTCAAGTGAATTGTATAAAATAGTTTTTATGGAGGTATATCAAATTTTTCTTCAACCATCCAAAAATGTTTTCATCAGGTTCCCTCCATTATGTAAATAACAGTAAAGCCCCAAATAGTTTATATTGAGTGGTAAAAGAAAATTAGAGAAAAAATTTGATTGCTAGAGTTTAGTTTTGCAAAGTTGAAACCAAGCTTATTTTCCTTTAATTGTTTGAATGTTACATTTGAATAACAATATCCAGACTAAATTGTAAAGCTAGTTTTGAGAAAATATCATTTAACCTCCAATCTTGTTTTCTCCCCCAGCCCAGTTATAATCAATAAAAGGAAAAAAAATCAGTATATGTTAGCTGAGATGGACAAGGCAAAATCACTCTTTAATTCCTCATGTCTCATGGAATTCTCTCTCTACAAGGAGTGGGTGACATGTATTCCATGCAGTCTTTAAATCTTTTGGGGCAGTGCTCAAAACCCTCTTGACCATAATTCCCAAAAATGCAAAGCATCCTTCCCAGCACTTCAAAATGTAAAAAGCATGAAAATGATAATATAATGAAGAACAGTTGGAGGAACTGGGTATGTCTAGTCTAATGAAAAGAAGGACTAGGGGAGACATGATAGCAATGTTCCAATCTCTTAGGGGTTGCCCCAAAGAAGAGGGAGTCAAATTATTCTCCAAAGCACCCGAAGGCAGGACAAGAAGCAATGGATGGAAACTAATCAAGGAGAGAAGCAAGTTAAAACTAAGGAGAAATTTTCTGACAGTTAGAACAATTAATCAATGGAACAATTTGCCCCCAGAAGTTGCGAATGCTCCAACACTGGAGGTTTTTAAAAAGATGATGGATAACCATTTGTCTGAAGTGGTGTAAAGTTTCCTGCCTAAGCAGGGGGTTGGACTAGAAGACCTCCAAGGTCCCTTCCAACTCTACTCTACTATTCTATTCATAATATAGAAACATCCCAGTGAAAAGAACAAGGAAACAGCCTTTCCCTCATATTCTGCCCTGACCATTTGATGGTCAGGGCATAGTTCCATCATATGGCAGTCATGATATGACCTGTGATCCTTAGCCTCCCAACACTGTGGTCCTTAGCCTCACTAAAATGTTCAATATCCACCAGAATTTTGTCTACTTTTACCTGATACTGTCAGGTTTATACATCCAAGAGGTGTTCTTTGTGTATAGAACTCCCAGCAGAAGAGCCAATAAGAATGAATTAAGACTTTTACATGTTCATATAGCTCTGCACACAATTCTTTTAAGATGGTATTGCTAGTTTTCTGGACTCTTTGCAGTATAACCAATCAAAATAAGACAGATTTTGGTATTAAATCTAAACTGGATTGCAAAATCAACCAGCCTTCAGTCTTAAACCTGGACTCTGTTGGGAAGGTAGGTAACCTTATGGACAATTCCAAGCTTTCTCTTTTAAACAAAACCCACCACATCTCTAAATCATCAACTTCTAATTTCCTGAGCATGGAGGGCATTGTGTAGGGTTTCTTACATGAGGAAGATAAGTGGGGATTAAATTGTGCAAAATTTCCAAAATAAACTTTCTAAATCATATAGCCATCCTGTACATGTGGGCGCAGTGGATATAGGCTGCAGAAGATTTACACCGGTTGCGCTCCCTCTATGTAGAGGAAAGCTCCTTGGAATGCAAGAGAACCAAACCATTGATTAAGCTAACTTTCAGGTATGCAGACTGATCTTCAAGTGTAGCCAGTTCCAATTGCACTAATATAAACTAGCAGGATCTGCCTTGATATAAATTGTAGAATGCATCTTGATGTATCATAGCATTTTGTGATGATGGTTATTTCTAAACTGTATAATTAAAATGATTTGATATGAAAAATATATATATTTTGTACACAAATATATATATATATTTACTTTTTTAGGGGGTGTTTTCATTGACATGAAAAAAAGCAGGAAATATACTGTATGTTATGACTGTATGAACAGCTGAAGTTTACTTTTGAATGATTTAAATCATTATGCAAAAGAGATTTCCCCACACTTAAGGCTTTGACAACCAACCTACTGGATTTTCTCATAACAATGTGAGTTTTTAAAATAAAAACGGAGAGTAAGCGCTTCGCTTTAGTTCATACTATTGTAAATTATTCTGCTATTAACTATTTTGTGAAAATAAACTGTCTTGTCAAACTTTTCTGTAAGATGTTTTCAGTGTTGTTTTGTTTTAAAAATTCAAGTGAATAACAGTGTCAACAAAATTACTACTATGTGGAAGGAACAACCCAAAGAATAAATGTTACTATACAAAATAAGGCTGGTGTGGATCACGTGATTCCTTTTTGAAGAGAGGGGATTGAAAAAAATACTTGTGTATACAGACTTATGACAAGACCAACTATTCTGGGGCACATTCACCTGAGGATCTTGACAGATGTCTTCTCTGTGGTGGCCTAAACACAAATATAGAAGGTCTATGATAGGGCAACTGAAATTCCCCTTGTTACAACTTTTCTTTTGAATGCCCTAATTTTGTGGTATAACTAAATATTGACACCAGCCAAGTTTATAGCATCTTCAAATTTAATTCAGTGGAGAAGCACAACTGAGAGTGTTATTTCTGGATTTCAAGAGCAAATGCAAACTATGGTCAGTAAGATTAGGCCATCCTAATCCCCAGAAGAACGATATTCCATTGATAGAAATAGAGATAGAGATAGAGACAGAAAGGGCATACTTCCTGGGTCCCATCAGATAGCATGAATTCTGGAGAATGTCCATCTCGATCAATCAAATGGCAGAAATAACCAGGTGGAGATGGTCCTTCAAGTATAAGATACAGGGAAAGAGCTGAAGTTGTGTTTTTTCATTATTTTCTGTGTCTGAAGATAACTATGTCTGGGCATTTCTGAAGTTCCACTTAGATGAACAGATTGGATACTGCCAAATGATCTCATGGCAATGAAAAGTAAATCTAAATATTGGTGTGATTCCCTTCCCCACAATTTTCCTTGAGTTTAATCCTTCTATCGCTGGTCTTTGCTTCAACAGGCATTGTCATTTTAATAACATAAACAACTTTTAAAAATCCCCTCATGCCAGTTTGGAAACAAATTTTGATTCCAAAAGTTGATTTCAAATGCATGTTCTGCCCAGCTTGTTTCTCAATATTGGAGATACAATCAAACAGCAATCAAATTAAGCATGCAGAGGATCGCTGATTTCACAGGATTTAAGCACACTTAATTAGGTTTGGGCTGATAGCCCAAAAGTTTATACGTCTATATGTTTAGGGAATTAATGTTAGCAGGTAATAGAAATGAGCCTGCTTATAGCAACAAGTGGTTTCTGTAATTTCTACATGGAAATTCTTTATATTTCCAAAACCCTAAGACATGTGGAGTAAACCTAATCCAGAATTGTGCTCTAGTGTTCTAAAGATAAGCATAGCCGATGTTACGATACAGGAATATGTTGCCAAACTTTTGGGCTACTTTAAAAGCATTGAAAGCGCATGTGCGTCAAATTCTGATCGTTCATGTTTTTGGTCCTGGCTCAACAACACATGGTTTGCTTTCAGAGGTTCACTGCCAGTTCAGTTTCATCATCCATTGTTCAAAAAAACCCAATTACTGAACTGCCTTGACCCAACTGGATCCCAAATTAACCTTGTTCAAGGAGAGACATGGCAAGTTTAGAAGAATAATGATTCAAGAACACTGTGTAGCTTGTCTAGTCTTCTCAATATCTTCCATGAGGTTGAGATTTCAAGGCAAAGAATCTTCAAGTTCTATCTGTTCTTTTCCACCTCCTTTGTCTCTTTCTGACTTATCAAATAGAGCTACTGTTTCTTTTTTTGGGAGGGAGGGGGATCCATTATAGGTATCACAAAATATTTGTAATGGAAAAACCAGAGATATATCTATTTATTGAGAGTGTTCTATAGTCACTCATTTTTCTAAAGGGAAGCTAATTTTCTGAGAGGTCCATGCATGTCCCAGAAAGCCTGCTTGGCAAAGAAACCAAAGCATCTACAGAGAAAATACTATGTTTGCATTAAATTACTTGTCATTGATAGCAGTGCTTTGGGTGTCAATTAAATCCAGACAAAAGGTTAGCAGAATCTGGAACAGTCATCATTCTCATAAAATCATTCAGGTGAGACAATTTTATCAAATCAGTAATGATTACTAAATATAATTTGGGACAGATGAAATCTGGGATAAAGGCAGAGCGGATATTTCCAGATTCTATTATCAATCACTAATTAATAGTGATTGCATTAATTAAGGAAGTGTGTGGGGGGGGGAAGGGCATGGATAAACAAGCCGATTGATTTTCTGCATTTCAATCTTTAGTCTCCCCTCTTCAAATTCTTTTAATGCAACTGTCATATCATCTTAGTCAATTGGCAAAGGAT